CCAAATCTGCCCAGAAAACCTCGATGAGTCGACTCACGATTGAGATGAGTCGACTCATGATCACCAGTCGACTCAAAATGTGCACAAACTATGTTGGCCTGCATGAGTCGACTCATGATTTTCATGAGTCGACTCAGCAGAAGCATTTTGCTATCTGGATGCGTTTTCTTGAGTCGACTCATCAACCCATCAGTCGACTCATCAACCGTCAGTCGACTCATCAACCCGTCAATCGACTCATAAGGCTGAGAACTGAAATCTTTGATTCTTCGTTCTTCCGACTCGCTTCACGCTCCATCCTGTGCTCCGCCGTGTCGCTTCACACCACTATTCTTAAGATATCATGAGAATCACCTATCCCCAAGCTCCCATGAGGATCGTTTTTTCCGAAGAGAAGATACACCTGTATCACTGTCACCCTGTGCTCGGTTATAATGACGGTTCTACCCTTATACCACATGTATAATTTTGAGGTACTATTCTAACCTTAAAGGGTTGTGTTGGTTCTTCTTGAATCCAAGCAATACCTACTAATTACACTACACACAAAAACTCTCGCAATTCTTCACTTTCCCCACTCAAGTTTACCAGCTGACTTGATCGTCGGAGGAACCACGGGGGAACCAAGCTCCATCCTCTCACGAGTTTCTATATGGGTAGACATTTCAACCACTCAAGTCTGAACTGAATATTCGGGGAAGGAAGCGTCCCCTCATCAACTTCACCTTAATCCAACCACTGATATAATTGACTGTATGATCACTTGGCTGTTGGATTTTTTGGTCAAAACCGCTTTCCAAAATGAGTTTTTAAACTATATATATATTAACTACAAGTACTTTTCATAAATGCTTAGTAGTCTAGTGGAAAGTTAATATTTTGGTGTTTCAAAAGGTCCCTTATTCGAGGCTTGCCGTTGGCAAGCCGAGAAGTGTTTTATTTGAATTAATCCCTCATAAGTTATAGTAGGCCATGAGACGTAGGTCGTGGGGCGTGGGGCGTGGGCCGTGGGCCATGGGACGTGGGCCGTGGAACGTGGGCCGTGGGACGTAGGCGCTAAGTGGCGCTTTGTTAGGCGCACTTTGCACTTCATACGGAGGCATCGAGACGAGGTGGCGCCACGAAGGTTGCCTCGCAAGCTGCTTCGTAGCATACAGACAAGCTACGCATTCGCACGAGGGTGTGACCCTAGCATTCTCGAAGTCATACGAGGTTCGCCTGTTTGACGAGGTTCGCTCATTCGACGAGGTTTGTCTGTCATACGAGGTTCGCCTGTTTGATGAGGTTCGCTCGTTCGAAGAGGTTCGTCTGTCATACGAGGTTTGCCTATTTGACGAGGTTCATTTGTCAAACAAGGTTCGTCTGATTTGCTGAGACGTGACCCTCGCGTTATGTATCAACGCTTCTATTGGTTGCCTCGTATTCAGGAGTTATTGCATGTAGCAGTTACAACAGCATTTAAAGCAATTTAATACATGATGTTACAATCTTAATTGTCATTAAGAATTGTAACAGTCACATTAATTACGAGTGGCTCTTGAGCTGGCATTAGAGGTCTATAAATAGCGCCCTTAGGCAGCTCATGAAATACACACGCGAGCTTGGAAAACGAACGTTAGATCAAGGAGATCTTGATGTTGTTGTTGTTGTTGTTGTTGTGCTGCTGCTGCAGAAACCGTGCCCACAGGAACTTGCACTTAAACCGAAAGGTTTTGATCCGAAAGGTTCTGAGATCGAGGAGATCTTTGCTTTGACAAAAAGATCTTATAGATCGAGGAGATCTTGACAGTACTGGGTTGGTGCACACCAGAGTACTGTGTTATTGTTCCTGAAAGTAATTTGGCCTTGATATCATTGCACCGGAGTAGGCCAAATATTGCTTTAAGCACAACGTTTCTCAAACGCACAGTAGTGGACTGAAAATTTTAAAATTACAGCACATCATAATTTCTTTGTTTTATTACAGCTTTAACCATAATTTCCAACATTAACATCAACAAATATATAGCTATATACTAATATGTAAGTATGTATGTATATGTGTATATATATACACACACACACAACGACTTAAACACTAAGTCAATCAATCATTATCTTTTTCTAGTTTAAAATAACTAACTTTTATACAAATTTCATTCACAGCTAAAAGAAGCAAACTGCAGATGAAATAACAGCCTATATGTCTACACCCAATCTGCTTTGGATGCTTAAGGAAGAGGCAATTTTTGTCAAAAAGGCTACGCTACTCTACATCTCTTAGGTTTTGACAAAACTGAAGTCGGTGGGACCCACAAGCTTTGTTGAATATGAAAGGCATCTTTTGCATAGTTCCTCAAAAACTCTATAAAAGGAGAAGGAGTTGAGGAGGTAGAGGAGGCATTTTTGGGAGAGTGAAGTCTGATCCTCTCTGGAGAATTCCCCCTTTTAAGTTTTTAAGTTTTTGAGTGAGGTTTGCTTTTAAGTTTTTTTTTTAGTGTTTGTAAGATATGTGTGCTCTAGGACTACTACTCCAGTTCATCACCTAGCATCTGGTTTGTAAGTTTTTAAGTTTATTTTCTTTCAAGTATGTAAGTGTCTTTTGTTAATATATCTACGTAGTTTGCTTCTACTGTTACTGTTTATTATTGTTCACGTCTTTACTGTTCATTTTTACTATTCATTACAGTTTTTCTTCTTTAATTTTTGATATACATGTGAACAAAGAAGAAGATATAGTTATAAACAATACCTATATCTTCTCCTCCGTCTACACAGTATTCTCCACGAGCTAGCTCTGTCGTATCAAGGCTAAACAAATCATGGTCACGATATAGCTCGTGGGAAATACTGTGTAGACGGAGGAGGGGATATAGGTATTGTTTATAACTATATATTCTTCTTCGTTCACATGTATATCAAAAATTAAAGAAGAAAAACTATAATGAATAGTAAAATGAACAGTAACAATGAAAGCAAACTACATAGATATATTAACAAAAGACACTTACATACTTGAAAGAAAATAAACTTAAAAACTTACAAACCAGATGCTAGGTGATGAACTGGAGTAGTAGTCCTAGAGCACACTTATCTTACAAACACTCAAAAGAAAACTTAAAAGCAAACCTCACTCAAAAACTTAAAAACTTAAAGGGGGAATTCTCAAGAGATGATCATACTTAACTCTCCCAAAAACGCCTCCTCTAACTCATCAACTCCTTCTCATTTTATAGACTTTTTTAGGAACTATGCAAAATATTATATATATATANATCACATCATTCCCTTTTTTTTTGCGATCCGCTCCGTTGAACTTGATCTACACGTTCTTAAACCCAAACACACCAATTTTGGGGTGAACCCTTCGTGTTTTGACCCTTCATCCACTCACCACAATTTTAACGGTTTCGAATGAATAGAACTTTTTGCATGGCTCAACGAATGGTCAAAACACGACGGGTTCACCCCAAAATTGATGTGTTTGGGTTTAAGAACGTGTAGATCAAGTTCAATGGAGCGGATCACAAAAAAAAATTAGGGAATGATGTGATTTTAGGCCGCGTCCTTAGGTGAGAATCTAAGGTGTCACCTTAGGAAAACTTACCATAATATTATATATAATTTATATATTATATATATATATATATATATATATATATATATATATATTATATATATATTATATATAATAGGGAAAAGTGCGATCTAAGGTGACACCCTAGGCCCTCCCACTAGGACGCGGCTAGAATCACAATATTTCCTAAATTTTTTTTCGATTCGCTCCGTTGACTTGATCTACACGTTCTTAAAACCCAAACAATATTTTAGGGTGAAACCTCGTCGTGTTTTGACGCCTTATCACTCGCTATAGATTTTAACGGTTCGAAATGAATAGAACTTTTTAACGGCTCAACGAATGGTCAAAACACAACAGTGTTCACCCTAAAATTGGTGTGTTGGGTTAAGAACGTGTAGATCAAGTTCAAGCGGAGGCGGATGCATAAATTTTTTTAGCGAATGATGTGATTCTAGGCCGCAGTCTTACGGTGGGAGCGTTAGGTGTCACCTTAGCATTCACTTTTCCCATATTATATAATGATCTATTATGATTGTTAAAATTAGATCATAATATATTATTATATATATAATATATATATATATATATATTATTATAATAAGATAATCTAATTTTAATGCAATTTTAGTTAAAAAAATAAAAAATTCAAAAAAAGAAAGCTCCGGACTAAGGCGCGACGCAGGGCAATCCAGATCTAGGCCTGGTTTGATTGTGGCAAATGTGTGAGCATTTATTGCCATCGATTGTGCATATGTAGGCACCCCGAGTCTGGTCGGCGGTCGGGCGAGCGACCCGGTGGACAGCTCTACTGGCCAATCATCGATCCTCCGGGTCATACCCCTTCACAGCCCACGTGTCCCTTCCAATGAGAAGGATTTTTTACGCAGCAGTCTCTCAAGTCTTCAATAATTTCGTATTTAACCCGCAAAATCTTGAAATTTCCTCATACAAGTCTCAAATTCTGAGAGGTATTGCAAGTTGGTCCACATGTCTCATCTAGGAGATCTTTCTTTAAGCACTGTAAGTACTCCGTAAAATAAATCTCGCACCAATCTCAGATTTGAAACCTAGCGTACAGTTACAGGTCCTGCTTGGCGCAAATATAGTTTTCGGCTTACAAAATGATTTTGTAGAGATATCCTTTGGGAACAGCTTCTAGGTAAAACTGATGCAACCACAAGCCCCTGATCCCAGCAAACTTCTGCTAGCTTTCAAAACCAAACATCTCCCCTCTAATTCAACGCTGACAACTCAACCTGGACCCGGATTCGAAACTTCCAATGTGGCCCCCATTTGTCAGTGAGAGATCTCATAGCGTTGACTGAACCGTCCAGCCGCGCTGTAAAAGACGTGCAGTCTCGTGAGTCGTGCCGGCTATATATCACGCGCTCCACTTGTCCCGTCGGCCGTCCCGTTCCGTTCACCTGCGGAGCATCCGACAGAAACCATCGCCATCTTCTTCCTCTGTCGTTATCCCTCCGCGTCGGATTCGAATTCAATTTTCATTTCGCTGGCGGGAACACCAATTCGATCCCCTCTTTGTCTCTGTTCATCGAATCTCACGCTTTTAAAATCCGTTTTCATCTTTCGAGAGAGACAGAGAGAGGATCGAGAAGAGGAGATGAGGGTGTCGGACAACACGAGAGGCCTGATCCTCGCCGTGATCTCGAGCGCGTTCATCGGTTCCAGCTTCATCCTCAAGAAGCTGGGGCTCAGGCGTGCCGCCGCTTACGGCGCTCGCGCAGGTCGGCTGTCAAAAACCCTGGATCTTGATTTGATTCCTTTTTATTGCATTAGATCTGTCCTTAATGTGTTTACTATCGATCTACTTTGTCGCTGCTAATCTTCCCTCGAAATCCTCCGTAAAAGGGTTTTGAGACACGGAAATATTTGTTTGTTGCAAACTAGTAAACATGAAGATATATTATCTGAGATGAGGGGAAAAAATATATTTGAGAATTTAGTACTTTTTTTATTTTTGAAGTTGCAGATTTGACTCCCGATTGTTTGTAGCCGGAATTATTAGTAGGGTAGCCTGGGTAGGGCTCAAATTAACTGTCATGCCATGAGAGTTTATAACGGTGTTATGCTTGACGTAGATATATTTATGCCGGCGTAATAGAACATTGGCTTGTGTTTGGCGGGGTTGTGGGTCTTATGACAATGGAGGTGTTGGTTGATCTCTGTGCCTTCTTATTGAATTGAGCGTTGCACTTGAGAATGTAGTTTCAAACATCAAGAGGATTGCCTGTGAGAGGTAGGCGGTGACTTGATTTTAGTTTTATGAATTTGGACTCCAAAAGTATTTTGTTGTCTACGGGATAAGGCTGGATTCCAGCATAACCAAATTACGAATTACTATTTGGTACAAAAACGTGCAGCAGAAATACATGATTACTAGCATAACCTTATGTCGCTATAACAAAAGTGATGTACATATGCCATGTATATTGTTAGGATACTCCATTAAAATTTAAATTACGCTATTGGAATTTAATATAATAAATAGTTGAAACCATTTAGCTTGTTGGATTTGGCCTTTTGTCATCTTGCCTTGTTTCTACCGAGTGTCCAAGACTTGACTTGCTAACAACCTTAAGCTTCTATGGGGTCAAGGGGCTTGATAGATGAGGATGATGATGTGATCAACAGACTGAATCTAAAGTACATAAAATGAGTTACATCTTTAGCTCTGTAACTTGTCCTTCGTCGAGCTTGGAGAACATTACATAACTAGGATTGGCCATTGTTCTGTCAACAAGTATGGAATGGTTAAAGTTGTGGCACAAGTTAGCATGAATAGCTGTAAGTTTTCCCCCTTATTCTTTTTAAAATGGATGAATCCCAGTGCACACTTGAGGATGGCAGAGTTTGGAGCTCTCTTGTCAATTTCTGTAACATGATCTCATACATCTCTCATACACCTCATGAATACCTGAACCTTTCTTTATTTCCTCATTATTTATTTCCTTTCCATGATCTAGGGCTTGGAGGATATGCATACCTACTAGAGCCACTATGGTGGATTGGGATGACAACAAGTAAGCTAGGCAGTAATTTGATGAATCTAATTTGTCAGTTGAGACTCAATTGATTGAATTTTCTGGAACCTGAATCTTACTTGCAAACAGTGCTTTTTGGAGAGGCTGCAAATTTCATAGCATATGTCTTTGCTCCAGCAGTTCTTGTAACTCCTCTTGGAGCACTGAGTATAATTATCAGGTAATGTACAAAAGAAAAGGTTTCGAGCTTTCATCAAGTAGAATATATTTTTACCAGGTAGTTTTGAGACCATGCTTTGATGAACTTCACAGTGCTGTTTTGTCACACTTCCTACTGGAGGAACGACTACAGAAGATGGGTATTTTGGGCTGTATCTCCTGCATAGTCGGTTCTGTTGTCATTGTAATCCATGCTCCTCAGGAGCATTCTCCTGGTTCTGTTGAAGAAATATGGATTCTGGCTACTCAACCTGGTGCTCCATGCAAACTTCTGTGTTAGGTTTTTTTTATTTCCTGTTGTCAAGCACCTGTGTTAAGTATGTTATCCCTGTCCAATTTGCAGAGTTTATGCTTTATTCTGCAGCTACCTTAGCGATTGTATTGGCATTGATCTTACACTTTGAACCACGCTATGGGCAAACAAACATTTTAGTTTATCTGAGCATCTGTTCTTTGATGGGATCACTGACGGTATTGAGGCTTCTGCTGCCCTATTAGCAGTCATGAATTTTTATTTTTTATGGATGTTAATTTTCTGTTCATCATTCATTTTAAAAGATATTTTGTGATTTATGCCAGATTGTCAGCATAAAGGCTATTGGAGTTGCAATAAAGCTTACATTGGAGGGAATTAGTCAGATAGCTTATCCGCAGACGTGGTTTTTTGTTGCTGTTGCAGTCATATGCATTGTCACTCAATTGAATTACCTAAACAAGGTTTGCAAATACAAATTATGTCAGAGATCAAACATCAATATGACAATATCTTTGATCCCTTTGTTTAGGTCTTAGATTGCATTGCCCTAGTAGATTCTTGCTAATTACCCCTGCAATGAGCATGCTGTAATATTTATTTGTTGGATTTTAGCCTTTCTGACATTTACACTTCAACCAGGCAAAAGTTACTTCTGTTGTATGTCATCCTTGCTCCTCGGACAGAACTTCAGAATCTACAGTCATGGATACTGAGTTTCACATCGAGAAACTATCTTATTGACTAATTCCTTTGCAGCCTACAGTTGTTAAATGTATCTTCTGGTTTTGTTTAGATGTTTCAGATGATCTCTTTGCCTGAAAGTTAACTTGATGGCTTATGAACCAACAGTGTATATCCAGAATCTTAGCACTTAGCCCTGTTGTTCACACTAGACTTTGGGCCACATTGAGAGACATTGACAATTAGATTATTCATAGAAACACTAGACTTTAGGCCACTAACATGTTTTTTCCTACACTATGATTAATGGAACTTACACGCAAATATTGATCCCATATCCTAAACAGAGCCAGTAATAAGTTCTTTTGTTGTGTAATACATATGACACACTCAAGTTCGTTTTCTATTCATATATAAAAGTTTTAAAGAGTGAAATAGTGAATACAAAGCAATTAGCTTATGTCAAAGAACTGGCAAAAAAATATAATCCCTTTTGCTCTTTTTCATGGCCAGCTAAGTGCTATCCGAGTTCAATTTTCCTCTTGCGATGCATTGCAGAGGAAAGTTGAGGAGATAGTGAGCACTTTTACTAATACACAAATGTGTAGCTTCTAGGAATTCCGTTTATGCTAGATATTTTAGATGGCAGGTTTGGAGTTGATGCATTATTCAGTTATTTTGATGCCAGAATATGTTGACGACTATGCAATATGCATTATTCAAATACTCACAAAAAAAGGAGGAAGAAGAAAATAAAAACTTTAGAATATGTTCAGATTTAGAGATATCTGTTTTTCAAATACTTGACGATAGTTGATACACTTCCTTTCTTCTTGCGTCTTATTTGTCATTTTGTTCTTTGATGTTACCAGCAAGGGGAGCCTTTTGCTGGTTTTATTTTGAGCACTGGTATTATAGCTCTTGGCAACGGTTCCTAATAATTGCGTTCTACCTGACAGGCATTGGACACCTTCAATACTGCTATGGTCTCACCAATCTATTATGTCATGTTTACGACTATGACAATAGTTGCAAGTGGAATTATGTTCAAGGTATGCAGGGATTTCAAACATGATGGTCTCTGATCTTAATGCTATAGAGTTATATTTACTGCTACTTGTGTACTCATGGCACTTCTTTAAATTCTGTGGTTCAGGATTGGTACGGTCAAAGTTTGAGCACTATTGCTTCTGAATTATGTGGATTCATAACCGTTCTTTCTGGTACAATGTTATTGCAATTGACAAGAGAGCATGAAGTGAATGCCTCAGCAGGTAAGGATTAGACTGCTAATCAACAGTTGATATTTCTATTGATGTCAAGAATTTTCCAATACAGGGGATTAGTAGTTAGATCTAGAACTTATAAACCAAGAAGGTCAGCCCTTATATGTTCATTACTATGTGAACAGTTTAGAATGTTAGATCCAGAAAAACAGGTTGATTGTGTTTTCCATTGGAATCACCTAGAAGGTCAGCATCTCACAAAGAGCTCCTTGAACTTGTGAGAAAGTATTGAGCTTTATAATCCAAAAACGGGTCAACCCTTGCCTATTCATTATTATATGCACAACTTAGATCCAAAAAAACAGGTCAAGTGAGTTTTCTGTCACGATCAGGTCAGTGAGCATCTCGCTGAGCTCCATGAACTTGTGAGAAATTATTGAGCTTTGCTCTGACTAATGGGGACAAACCTCTTTTCAAAACTTTGCTTTGATGGGTATAGAACTATTTCGAATAGATTTTAAAGAACATAGGCCAAGTCAACAGAGACATGTTTCCTTGCGGACATAAAGCCATCTAGCTTAGAACTTGAAATCCATATCAGCAATTTCATTCACACCATCATGATCATTGAGTGCAGTCGAACTCATTGTAGTCACACATTCAACACTTGGATTCGTCTGTGCATTTTGCAGAAATAGTAGTTCAATCTTTTTCCTACTGCCCTCAGTGGTAAACCCAAATACAGAAAACCTCTGAGCTATCAGAATGCCTCAGCATGTGAGGATTAGACTGCTAACTTACAGTTAATATTTTCTATTTATGCCAAAGAATTTTTCAATACATAGGTTTAAGTCGGATCTAGAATCTATAATCTATAATCTAACAGGGTCAACCCTTGGAATTTAGATCCAAAAAACCAGGTCCAGTGAGTTTTCTGTTAGAAGCACCTATAAGTGAGTGAGCATCTCACTGTCACTGAGAGTTCCTTGAACGTGTTAATACTTATCGAGCCTTTCCCTGACTTAAGTGAGGGGTAAATTTCATGAAGCCCCCAAGAAGTTTGGCCCATTTTGATATGACCCAAAAAAGTGTTGAAAAATGTCACCTAACCACCAAAACTTTTGCATTTTCCTGGATCTATTTCAGATGCTGAAAAAATTTTAGGGATTAAGTGATATTTTCAAAGTTTTTGGTTTATTTCAAATGGCTAAACTTCTTGAGGTTTTTGTGAACTTTGGTTTGATGGGAGTAGAATTTGTTTTTTTTTTTAATTAAAAAAAATCTGGAGAATAAGCCAAGCCATCTACCTTAGGACTTTAAATTCTTATCACCAATTTCATTCACATTTCATCATAATCATAGAATGCCTTTGGATTCATTGTAGTAACACTTACCATCGCTTGCCTTCGCCTTTGTCATACGAGAGGGCATCTGGCAGAAATGCAATCATTTTCATACTGCCTCTTTATCTGGTTTTCATGATGTCTCAATGCATTGCAATGTAAGCTTGTCCCATGCTTTGTAGCGACGTAATCGTGTTTTCTTACTGCCTTCTTTCTTTTGCCCGCTTGATACAGCTTCCATATCATGGCATGTTTGTAAAGGCAATATAGAGTCACTGAAGGATGTTGAGAATAATGATCATTTTGTAGCCTTGCTCGCTTCAGAATATGTCAAGTGATGATAAAAGTATTTCTCAGCGGAAAATGAAATGATTCTTGCAAGTTTGAGAGGAAACGATTGAATGGAAGGTGGAAATGGGATAAGATCGTCTCTTGTTCAATAGAGATATCTCGTGAGACGTATTCAAGCCGGGTGCACCGTACCTAAGCCCGTGCAATTCATTGAGGTACACTGAACAAATTTGAAAGTAAAGAGTACGCTGCCTGTAGAGGGAACAAATTAAGCCGAGCTGCACTTGGACTTTTAGTAGGAAATTTTGTCGTATATGTATTTATTTGTATAAAATATATACCTTTTTCTCTATGAAAAAGGTTAGTAAGAGGTACCTATTGATACTGTATGCGGTGAAAGAATCACAAAGTTCAACAATTTAAGAGTTGATATGTTTTTGTACTTGCGTAGTACCAATCAATGTAATGATAATAATTATTATTATTAATACAATTGTTAATAGTAATTATTTATAATACAATTGACTAAGGAGTAAGGACATACACAAGCCTACATATAAGACATACGCAAGCATACGTTAGTCTGGTTTGTGGACGATAACATGCATTTGGGGATCCGGATCCTGGGATTCCCACTATCCACTGTCACAAAATAATAGCGATTTTCAATAAATAATATCGAGAATCCTATACGACTCTATCTAAGCCTTGGACACGTCATTGCAAAATTTGCCTAACTAATGAACTGGTCATCTCCTACAACATAAATTCTACCGCTCGTAAATTTTTGTTTTGCCCCGAATTATGAAAAGTCTACCACTGGCAATGACACTGACAAACAACAGCATCTACCAATATTTTTGTAAGGGGCAAGATGTTAAAAAGCAATTATTCTGGGGGCAATCTGGTAAAATGAACTCCTTATCTTATTTCGCGTAGGTGCCACCGGTCAAAAGGCTCTGCTGAGGCATCACCGTCACCTTATTTTTTTAATTAATTGGTCCTCATCCATTTCGTCCTTTTCAGCTCAACGCCATTACCAATGGCACAGAAATCTTCAAGAAATAAGACGCGCCGTACCAAAATATCAAATGAAAACAGTAAAAAACATTTTAAGAAGGATCGACAAACCCCAACAACAATTAGTAAAAACTAAAATTTATTTATCAGCGTGATCGTAAAAACACCCATACCAAGATCCAGAGATCCCAAACGAAAACGAAAACAGACACTAGAACAAGACCCGAATCAAACAGAGAGACCCAGAACACAACCGACCCTTATTTCAAACACCCAAACCCTAAATCCACCATTAAAAAGCCCCCATCAAACTCAAAAACCACCTAAAGCTGGCCACAGTCCTTGACCACCACGGGCTTCGAGGTCCTCCCGCTCTGAGATCCAACCTTCTCGATCGCCCTAACGACCTCCATCCCTTCCACGACCTGCCCGAAAACGACATGCTTCCCGTCGAGCCACGAGGTCTTCTCGGTGCAAATGAAGAACTGGGACCCGTTGGTACCGGGCCCAGCGTTGGCCATGGAGAGAATCCCAGGGCCGGTGTGCTTCTTGACGAAGTTCTCGTCGGCGAACTTGGCCCCGTAGATCGACTCGCCGCGGCGTAGATCGACTCGCCGCCCGGTGCCGGTTTCCGGCGTGAAGTCGCCCGCCCTGGCACATGAATCGCGGGATCACGCGGTGGAAGGCGGCCTTTGTAGTGGAGGGGCTTGCCGGAGCGGCCGGTGCCCTTCTCGCCGTGCAGCGAGCGCGCGAAAGTTCTCGGCGGTGGGCGGGGACGACGTCGCGAAGAGCTCCATCACGTGCCGCCGGCGTCATTGCCGGCCGACCGTCAT